TAAACGACCGTTAAATGAAATGATGAATTTTTGAAGGATTTTGAAAACAGAAAAAATGATAGTCATGCCAGCCCAGCATCATCAACATTGAAAAATGCCCCGGCATGAAGTGGTTAACATATTTACACAAGCACTTTAAACAGGTGGAATATTTGGCAAGAGAATCCCAGATGGATTTCAGTCAGTCTTGTGGACAGTCAATGTTACCTATCAGTCTGCCTTTCTCTGGAAAGTAACAGGTCCTTCTCCTCCAACTTTCTTGTGAAAAGATCTAACAACTTGTCACTACTCAGAACCTGCAAGAAACAATTAAAAAATTGCTGGTAATGTTGTATCTGGGAGTGTATTCAGAAACATACATATCTCCAATGCATTTGTAATTTGTTCTTTGAAACAATGGTCTATTTTTCCTTCAGAAGTTATTTTAATGATTAAAAACTGTTTTTGGAAACATTTGTAGGTCATTGGCTGAAGCTGTACAAGATAATTCTAGTATTTGGTGACTTCAAAAATCATTTCCAGAATAGCAAGAACACTAAATGGTGGTTTTTACATTTAGTAAAAAGTAAAAAATACAATGATTGTTTTTTGTTTTGTTTTTTAAATAAAACCATGTTGTGAGAATGATTCCTAGACTCTCCCATTGTCTAAATCGAAGGCCTGGGATAATTTTGAAACTCCTTGCAATCCACAGACAAGTTTACAACTTTCAAGTGTCTGAAAAAGTCCTTAACAGTTTGAGGTATGAATTGGGTTGACGTTCTCCTTCCTTTCTACAGCAGTCTTAGTCATTTTCTTCTCCTTTGCACCCCCTCCCCAATTTGAAATTTGGGCCGAGTGCCAAGCAGAGCACCTAAGGCTGTCTGCTTCGGGCGACTAAATGTCAAAGGTAGGTACAAACAGACAGATCAGTTTGCAAAAAGTCGTACGAATGGCAATACAATCAGAGGAAGTCAAGAGTTCATTGTCTGTGCTTCTATCCAACAAAACATCTCCGTTCTCCAGTGAAGATGGAAAGTAACTAAATATGTCTTCAGATTGCAGGGAAATATCACCTTTGAAGAGGAAACAACATACTTTGTGGCCCTAAATGTTTTATTTGGTAGAGATTGAGGACCCCATCCTAGAGAGAATTAAATTGCATTTTAAAGTTTGAAGTTCATAGTTTTCCTCTCAAGACAGAATATTAATACATTGCTGTGCCAGAGAATCATCTAACTCATAAGACCTATTCAAAAGGTGCACAAAGCCTGTGATACTGAGCTGAACAATTCTTAGTATTTTCTATGTACATTTTTCAATGCTTTCCCGGCTAAATTTGACGTTCTAGGGGCTTTCAAATATTTTCATATCAGTCCCAATATTGGAGACAGGACATCCAATCTTGACCTGATAAATTTCAAACCGCATTTTGACCAAAACACAATATTTTTTCTTTCCGGCCAACAAAAATACCAAACATGTCAAATTTGACAAAATACAACAAACTCTGTCTTGTACTAACCACCTTATTTCTTTCACCACTACGTAAAAGTAAACACTGTCTTGACCTACCTTGTATTGCTATGCCTAGGCATCAAAATAAAGCATGCTACAATCATGGTGGTCCACAAGTATGAGAAAAAAAAAATTTGACATGAAGGGGGGGTCTAGATGGACAAAAATCAGACTTGTGAAGCTGTCTTTTTCTCTAGTTTTGGAAATATTTACATTCAGGGTCTGTGGGTGTTTGACACGACTGTTGGGTCGAGTCTTTTCACAGTCAACTCAAGTTACTTTTGTGTATATCAAATTCATTTCAAGTCGGTGCATGTTTTTTGTGTGGGCATGAGTTTTTACATGTAGATATTTAAAAGATAATTTGCAATGAAGAGTAATTGAAAGACTTCT